AAGTTGCTTCCGCTTGTGAAAAGTTCTGCTCAAGTCTTGGCTATTGAACAGCGAAAATCGCAGGTCTCTATCTCATTCCTATCAAAAGTTATTCAAAAAGTGGCAACCTGCATTATATTTTGGTACGGATACTAGTCCACAATGCAGTAGTCCAACTTGAAGTAGTCCAACTTCGAGTAGTCCACATGACGAAAGTTGGTTTTTCTGTCTGACGAAAGTGTTGTCACTCATGTATGTAATGCATCAAAGGGGCAGTTTTAGAGAGAGGTCACACGAAAGTGTGTTCTCTATAGTAGAGAAGCAAAGGAAGGGTTATTCCGTGCGTACTCTTATGTACAGGTAAACGCTTCACCATTCCTGTGTACAATGACGCTATTGCTCTCCGAGTAAGAAAAGTACGAGAAACAAACGTATTACATGTACCTGTACACATGAGTGCGCTCTACGAGAATGATTACCTATATATTCTCTTCCATTCCACTTCTTACATCAGTAACACAGAACCTACTGATATCGTTTTGAACCGACAATCGACATGAGTGATATCGTCAATAATGGCTATCGTTCTGACAATGAAATTCATATTCAAATGAACGGTGGTGATTCGATGGACATTGTTTCGAATCATGATGATTCTCTGGTAACAACAGCAAAAATCGATGTTCTATTTGTCAATGTGACAAAAGTGATCAATGTCCCTGCGAAAATGCTAGATCCAAATAGTAAAGAAAAATTTATTCAACGTACACTGCTCGACAGAGTTAGTGGACAAATTCATTCCGGCGAGATTGTGGCTCTCATGGGACCGTCTGGTACGTCTTTTACTTTTTTAGCGACAGACCTTTTATTCTATGTGCTATGATCTAGGTAGTGGTAAAACAACGCTGCTGAACACATTAGCTGGACGAGCATTGACCGGTGTGTCCGGTGATGTCTACTACAATGGGATCAGATATAAAAAGAGCATGAAACGAAAATTGGCCTACGTGCTGCAGCAAGATTTGTTTTTCGAATCGTTGACTGTCAGAGAACAATTGACATATACAGCGCTGCTACGACTGCCAAACCACTTAACGCGAGCCCAAAAGAAGGATCAAGTGGAGAAAGTAATCGAACAATTGAGAATTCAAAAGTGTGCAAATACGCCAATAATGTTGATTAGTGGTGGTGAAAAGAAACGGTGTAACATCGGTACAGAACTATTGACAAATCCAAGTCTCATATTCTTAGATGGTAAGCTCAATATGCGTGTTTTCTTTGTTTCTCCATCCATAAATATGTTCAAAGAATATATTCAGTCTGTTTGAGACGCAAAAGGTTTTTCCTTTTTAAGGCAATAACGGAAACAAAAACAGGAAAAAGCTTTTTCATAACCTTTTAGCACAACCCTCTAATATAGTAACAAAATGTGTCCGTACCACTAGGATATGTACAATCGGACCCCTAGGTCAGGTACGAATTTGATACGCTCGAGTATAGGCTTGATTTTTGTGCGCTTAACCGCAATACCAAAAGTTAACAAGTTTCGATCAAAAATCAAAGATTGTATACAAAATCGCAAAGCTTTCACGGATACGGGTATGAAAAATTGTAGTGGTGCATATCATTACGCCAGAGGTTCAAAATTGCGACTCTCCTATGCAAGCATAATAGAAATCTGGTCGAAAGGGGGCTTAAAATGTGTCATAGAACTAGTGTAGTGAGATTCTTTTATACCGAGGTAAAAAGATGTCAACATTTTGATACGTTGATGAGTCATTTGCTTGTAAGACGCGAGCTTTTGTACTCTTTGGTGTCCGTAAAAGCTTTGAACATGATAAAAATAGTTGAAAAATCGAAACTCTTTCTCATATCCTCTGAGATGGATGCAGAGCACCAACATTGCATATACCTTAAATGAGACTCGGATCTCTACACAAACCGTACCGTATTGCATAAGAATATCCTCAATTGACACTCACATTTCTATCTTAAGACTTTTATAGGATTTCTACAAAAGTCTGCTGAAGTGTTCTTGAAGTTCAAAGATAACGGTGCACGACTGAGTCTTTAGAAACACGTTGTACATGTGTCTTGCGATTATAGGAAAATCGATTATGTTTTCCTTCCAATAGAGATTACTTTTAACTTTCAACCAAAGACTTTGACAGAGTAGGGAGGAGAATTCTTCAAAAGAACAGTCATGAAGATCTTATTTTGCCTTAGATTCGTCAGTAAATAGTACAGACATGGCACAGTTTAGGTAAAAAGGGTTTGAACAGAGTTCTACTCATAGATGTGTCCCACGTATCAAACGAAGTGAGACTAGGCCAGCAAATGACGCAATAGGTGTTTTCTCAACACTGGGTTCAGAAATAATAGAAAAAAGGGATGATAGACTCCCTCTGAGCCGAAAATTTGGCCATAAAACTTGCTTCAACGCTTACTCATTATCGGCTAAGTCGTCATCTTGTGTTGTGCATGGTAACAGTCAAAATTAGATTATGTCAAGCTTGGAGAAAAAGAAAAGTATTTTGAAATGAAACCATCGGTGGCGTTCTGCGTGTAGCGCCCTAGTTTCACTTTCTCCGGTATGGTGCAATTGGCAGAATTTCAAACCTGTCGATTACTAGCACCAATATTTGATTTTATTCCAGAAAGGATCTGCGAGTAGCCACTCTTAACAGGAGTTCTAACCATGAATGAGAAACTGAAAAGGTTTCGGTTTTGTGCAATCATTTTTTCTGACTAGAAAGAACATATGCATAAGATGAAGACAATGGCTGCCCAGCTTATCCGGGGACATCTCTTCACTATAAAGATGTCTTTTAGAACCAACAAGTGGTCTTGATAGTACAAGCGCCGTGGCTCTCGTTGAAACACTGCGTCAACTCGCCCAACAAGGCAAAACAATTATTACCTCCATCCATCAGCCGTCATCTCAAGTGTTTCAATCGTTTGATCAGCTCATTCTATTAGCTGACGGGAAAACAATCTACATGGGCCGTCCAAAAAACTCTCTTTCCTACTTTGCTACACTGGGATATCACGCGCCTGCCCAATACAATCCAGCCGATTACGTAATGGATCTTGTCAATCAAGATATGGCTGTTCGTGAAGAATTGAAACAAGCGTATGTTGATGTTAAACTGTCAAAGTACGTTCGATCACCAAGTATGGATGGCAAACAATATCTGCTCGAGGAGCCGACCGATAACGACGTGGAACGATCGACGAAAAACAAAGACGGCGCAGCCGCACTTGGATTGACAAAAGAGAGCAAATGGCCAATAAACATGTTTGCTCAATTTCTCGTTCTCTACTCACGTGCAAATAAACTAACGGGGAAAAACGAATTCACTCTGTTGAATATTGCACAAGCACTGTCGCTGGCAATTGTTTGCGGTCTTTGTTGGTTACAAATGCCGTTCAAAGAAAGCACAATTCCCGATCGAGCTTCTTTCGTCTTCTTTCTAATGACATTTTGGCCGCTACAAACGCTAATGAAAAGTCTCATGTCGTTTCCCTTTGAACGCATGATCATCAACAAAGAGCGTGCCAGTGGATCATTTAGATTATCCGCTTATTTTCTCGCAAAATCTGCTTCGGAGGGACCACTAAAACTTGTTTTACCCACCGCTTTTTTACTCATCGCTTTCTGGATGGCAAATATTCATCGTTCATTTGCTGTATTTCTCGCTTTTCTTGTATTTCAATTGCTGGCTATCCTCGTCGCCGAATCAATAGGTTTGTTCATTGGGGCCACTGTAGCTGACATCCGACAAGGTATGGTGCTGGCAACTGTCTCACTGTTGAGTTTACTGTTGGTTGGTGGTTTTTTCGTGAAAAATTTGCCGCATTGGCTTGGCGTTTGGGCAAAATGGTTGAGTTTTTTCAAATATGCCAATGATGGTTGTCTCCGATTGGGATTCAGTGGTGGACGCCGATATGAATGTGTCGATGGCACGTACATTACTGGATGTCGAAATCAGACAACGTTCACCGGCAGAGATGCGCTCACATATTTGAAAGTCGATTTGACAATTGCCGAAAATTTTCTTGTTCTAGCAGGAATGTTTATCTTTTTTCGCATATTAGCGTATATTTCATTGCGATTTATCAAAGACAAGAGTGGACGAACATAACTTCCTATATGTACATAGTGCTAGTTGTCTCAGGTTTTATCTAACCATAAATCGAAATAAAGAGTATTTTTCAACTTTATAGTACTATCCGTCTCAAAATACAAGGCACTCGGGTTGAATAAGTTTGAAAGCTGGCATAGACAATCTATGAAACTTTTCCACAAATATATAGTCCGAAGTGTTCTCTACAAAACTAGATCCAAGCGATATATATATTTAGCGTTGATAGCGTATACTTGTGCGCAACTTCTTTCACATGAGATCTTCTATACCTGGCGAACCCATCGACTCTTCTTACGGCATCGACTTTTCTTACGTTAGATAAGAGATAAAGCCAATATTATTATGTCGTTATACTGGCCATAACCTCTGGTCTTGAAACTGTTAAGATCAGACGATTAATTAAGTGAGATAATGGCTATCATACTGACAATGAAATGCATATTCAAAATGGACTGTGGTGATTCGACGGGCATTGTTTCGAATCATGATTGTATTTCTTTATGAAGTGCAGTTTTCTCCCATTGATTTGAATAAATATTAAATTTTAATACTATTTGAAATAATTTACTAATCTCTGCTTTTTCTTCTGCATTAAGAGAAACACACACCGATTGAATCACTTTGACATGTATAAGAATGATTCTAATATTTCTTCTTTCTAAGTACTTGGAGTCACAGATGTTACGTAAGACATTTTTTTTTCTTCCCCGTACTAAGAAGCCAACATTTTAGACTAACACTAAAAATAATTTGATATTCTACAACATCCATTACTATTTCCAGTTCAAACAAACTCTAACTTTTTCCTCACTCAAGTTACCATGTGCTATTTATGACTTGGACTTACCCAAAATGAGACTATGATAAAAAAAGAGAAACAAAAGAGGAAGGAAACAAATGTTTCGCCTGCATGATACTCTCATTAAAGATCTGAGGAAATAAACACGATACTGTCGCGTTAGCTCCAGATTGAGTAATAAAAACGCCTTGAAGAGATTTTCCAGTTTCTTTATTCCATTGACAGAAAGACAATGGTCTTACAACCCTAAATACATATCCGTGTTGTCTGTTAGTGCCTTGTATTTTGAGACGGATAGTACTATAAAGTTACTACTCTTTATTTCGATTTCTGGTGGCACTTGGGTGTTTCTTGAATAACTCAAGAACGATTAAAGATAATTACTTGTGGTCTTCAGTAATGAAAAGAAGACACTTTAAATACGGGAGAAACACCCACATAACCAAATCCTTGGTTTTTAGTCAGAAAATTTTGCAAACCATATAACTGATAGAGCAAAGAATTCTGACGAAAATAATATATCTCCCGGCTGTAATTATCGTTCTTTCGAAAAATTCACGCTACATGTGACAAAAGCTCTTGCGGTATGTGACGAATAGTGGTTACGACAGTTAACCCGTTATGTGACGAAAGTCCGTTTTCGGTTGTGACGAAAGTGTCTGGTTCTTTAGACAGGTCGGCACTTTTGTCACACATTGGGTCAAGCGGCTGCGATGAAATCAAGGTTATAGTGCAAACTTCATTAGTCCAAAGTGTAGTAGTGCAAGTTGCATTAGCCTAAACTGCAGTAATGTAAACTGTAGCAGTCCAAACTAGAGTAGCAAATTCTTGCTTTTTTCTTTACAAACATTGCATTCTTAGCGAAACGCGTAAAAAACCCTTCTCAAGTCTTTTTCTATACTTCAAATATCAAAATCAAGCGTCTATTGCGTTTGGGAGTAGTTCGGTCTGGACTAGTATCCGTACCAAAATATAATGCAGGATGCCATGGACTATAGGTAATCGACTACGCTGAACATAGTGGCAACATTTGTTTTTGTGTAGAAATGAATATAACTTCGTCAGAGGCATTGCTGTTAAAAACCGGTTTTTCGCCTGTTACTACCAAAAATTAAAATCCTTATATCTCGATCAAATCTCATGCTGACTCAAGGAAATTTTCAG